GTCTCAGTCTTCTTTTCTCCAAGCTAAACACATCCAGCTCCATACATTGTTCCTCAATAAGGCTTAGTTTCCAGACCATCTTGGTCACCCTTCTCTGGATTCATTCCAACCTTTCAATTTCCTTCTTGAACCATGGTGCCCAAAACTGGATGCAGTATTCCAAGTGAGATCTGACCAAAGCAGAATAGGATGGCACTAGTATGTCCCTTGATCTGGGCAGCCCAGAATTATATTGGCCTTTTTGGCTGCTGTTTCACATTGTTGACTCAGTCATAAAATCACAGAGCTAGATTTGTAGGCCATATAGTTCAACACAGTGGTAGTGCTCTGATGTCAGTGGACTGTGGAATCCACTTTGGATTTTAGTCCAAAGTGGAAATGAGCTGTCTAAGGTGCTGAACCTGTTTTAGCGATAGAGGTAAGAACATTGGATAGCTCCTTTGAAGTTTAGACTAAAACTAGGGGTAAATTCACCATTCCACTGAACCTCCAGCTGCTACTGAGTTGACCCCCTCCTGGATGCAGAGAGAGAGACCTCAAAGATACATAAGGTTCCCCAAAGGTAACTATCTAGATTATGCTTAAATATGTCCAGTGCAGAAGTTAATAGGGGCCACTATCAAACTTTTTTTGCTATCAAGATCTAGAGTTCGCCTGGGACATTCTACTGACTGAGGTGAAGGACAAGCAGAACTTGCCCTTCCCTGCCCCATTCAATGAACTGGACTAGAGTAATTGTCATATCATCTTCATTAACATCACTATTATTACTATCCAGCCTTTCTACCAATACTGAGGGCATGTATACCTCTGGGCCATTAAAACTGTTTTCCCCCTGCTCTCAAGTCGCTCTGTCCAGACAATGCAAGACATAAGTCCCAATTTGGATGCAGAATGTCTTCAGGTAAGAAAGCCCATTCCACACCAAATCCATCCCATTCCTCCCTTAAACCAGCCTTAAACTCCCTTAAACTCAAAGATTGGGAGCAAAAAGTATGTGTGTGTGTGTGTGTGTGCTGTGTGCCTTCAAGTTGTTCACAACTGATGGAGACTCTAAGGAAAACCTTTCATGGGGTTTTCTTGGCAAGGTTTCTTCAGAGGAGATTTGCCATTACCATCCTCTTAGTCTGAGAGAGCATGGCTTGCCCATGGCCACCCAGTGGGTTTAATGGCTGGGTAGGAGATCGAATTAGCAAATATACGATGGCTAATGGAGTGCACCAAGGAATACCAAAAGAAAATCAGCATGTACTTTATCGACTATAGCAAAGCCTTTGACTGCATAGATCATGAAAGGCTATTGAACACCCTTAAAGATGTGCCAACACATCTGATAGTCCTAATGAGGAATCTGTATTCAGGACAAGAGGCTACTGTCAGAACAGAAGATGGAGAAACAGAATGGTTCCCAATTGGCAAAAGGGTTGGACAAGGCTGTATCCTTTCACCCTATCTGTTCAACTCGTATGCAGAACATATTATAAGAAAAGCAGGCTTGGATACAGAAGAAGGAGGAATGAAAATAGGAGGAAGGAATATCAACAATCTAAGATATGCAGATGACACCATAATACTAGCAGAAAACCCACAGACTTTGAACACCTACAAAGGAAGATCAAAGAATAAAGTGCAAAGGCAGGCTTGATGTTGAACATAAAGAAAACAAAAATAATGATCACCAAGGACCTTCACAAATTCAACCTAGACAATGAAGAAATAGAAATAATATAAGAATTCCCATAACTGGGATCAAACATTGATAGAAAGGGTGGTTGCAATCAGGAAATCAGAAGAAGATTAAGAATGGGGAGGATGGCTATGAAAGAACTAGAAATGATCCTGAAATGCAAAGATATACAACTCAGAATAAAGGTTAGAATCATACAAGCCATTGTATTCCCTATTACCATGTATGGATGTGAGAGCTGAACAGATAAGAAAAATTATAGGAATAAAATCAATTCATTTGAGATAATGTGGTGCTGGAGAAGAG